CAAATATCAAATCTTCCAACAAACTCGATAAAATCCGGAAACTCACACAAATTCGGTCGGAATAACCAAGCGAAACTTCCAAAAACTCACGTCATGAACTTACTTGCGGGACAGTCAACTCACGTAAAACACGTCAAATTTTACGTGAGTTTTTTCACTTTTTGACGTAAAAGAATCAGGTTTTTGAGCCACGTATTGGGCTGCACGGATCAAAATGGGTGCCTTATTATTTTTCTTACAAAAAAAAAAAAAAAAAATTGGGCTGCACGGCGGCGGGCGAAGCCCGCCGTGCAGCAGGACTTTTGCCAGCACCCTCGTGACGTTGCAGATATGTGGCTTGATTAGTGTAGTTGACGTTGATTTAGTGACTTTGGCAAGTCTGAGTCGTGTCAAGAAGTCAGGTAGGATTCAGTACTAGGCAGTAGTGAAACGTGAGTGGTAGTCTTTGCCGGTTTCTGAGGGTATCCTGGATTTGGTGTGCAGCGCTGTGGGAATGGCTTGCTGTGGAGGTCCCAGCACTGGATGTTGTATCAAAGGTACGACCTCGTAGCACGTGCTAAACCTAAAAAAATTCAAAAATTGACTTGGGTCTGTGGGAGTGTGTGAGAGAACGCCCACTCGTTCCGTTGTGACAGATTCCAGGGCCTCGTTGAGGGGCCCTACCCCATCACCCATGGCTGCTTCTGGACTTGTTCTAGGTTTGAGTCCCGCGCACGAACAGAATGAGCACGAAGATGTGAAAAAATTGTAAATGCATTTGTTTGGCTCCTGGGTGGCTCGCACACCGTGGCACTATGCCGGAAATTTGAGTTTTTCCGGCCTGGAAAGCCTGTCAGTGAGGCGCAAGAACTTGTAAATCATGTCCTGAGGGCCAGCATAGTGGCTGGAGCGTGTGGTCAAAATTTCACTCAAATCCATTGAGAAACACCAAAGTTACGGTCAATTGAATGCCATATGAAATTTATGGGTAGGCTGCCCCCTTAAAGGGGAAGTGAAGGCAAAAATTAAAATTTCACCAGTTGTAGTCTTCGGGGTGCTGAGTCGAATGGTCGTGGTCCGAGGAAGCTGAGACGCTCCCTTCCTACTTGAATCCCAATCGAACTCGCGCACTTCCACCGAAACTGGGTGACTGCGCCCTACGAGATGGGGATTTGTATGCAAAAATGTCACTGAAAGCGCCATTTCGTTCTTATAAAAGCATGGATGACCGCGATTGGCCCATATGTTGTAGTCTTTTGGACGCTGAGTTGATTGGTTTTGGTCCGAAAAGGCTGCGATGCAGCGTTCCTCCTTTATTCCCAATCGAACATGGTTGAACAAGCGGTCACGTGCTCCTGCGTACGCCAGTCACCTGGTCACCGTGCCTCCAGGGTGCAATTTACTAGCCTGTTTGACCTTTTTGGGAGCAGTCCTGTCACTCGAGTTGAACTCGAGTTGAACCTTGGTGTGAAAGTTGTCGCCTGCTGGCGTGGTGACCAGGTGATTTGGGCACCCAGGAGCACGTGACCGCTTGTTCAGCCATGTTCGATTGGGAATAAAGGAGGAACGCTGCATCGCAGCCTTTTCGGACCAAAACCAGTCGACTCAGCGTCCAAAAGACTACAACATATCGGCCAATCGCGGTCATCCGTGCTTTTATAAGAACGAAATGGCGCTTTAAGTGACATTTTGCATACAAATCCCCATCTAATAGGGCGCAGTCACCCAGTTTCGGTGGAAGTGCGCGAGTTCGATTGGGATTCAAGTAGGAAGGGAGCGTCTCAGCTTCCTCGGACCAAGACCATTCGACTCAGCACCCCGAAGACTACAACTGGTGAAATTTTAATTTTTGCCTTAACTTCCCCTTTAACCACTGTAGTCCAGCAACTGTAACTTTGAAAAAACACTTTTTGCCTGTTTTCACTGAAAAAAGAGCACTTTTCAGCATATTTTGAGGGACGCGAAAAGCACTACAGTCCATTTCAAAACTATAGACGCGTAGGGTTTTTGAAATATTTCAAATTTGGCTGGAACCTTTTGAGAATAGTTTTCGGAATATTGCTCAGGACCGCTCCACGATTACTCTCATATAGTTTCTAAACAACTCAATCTGTGTCCACCTCACCTCCACTGTTTCAACTGGTTTTCTTCCCGTAGCACGAGAAACTCCCTTTTCCTTCCGAAACCCAAGTCCTCCTTTCTACTTCACTCTCCCCTTTTCACTGCGTACTCTGCGTGGCTGGCACTTCCCCAAGAAGCTAAGGACCTTTCTTCCCTCCGCCTTTTTAAGAGCCTTGTCGTGCCTTGACTTTGAATTTGTGTTTCTCATTTTGTTGCAATCACTACTTATCCATGCCGGTTCCTTTTTTTTTTTTTTTTTTTTTTTTTTTCTTCTTCTTCTTCTCCCCTTCTCCCTTCCTTGCCATAGTTGGCTAACACCCTCTCTCTTTGTATTGGCCGGTGTTCTCACTGTGCTATGAGATGCTGTAATAAATAAATAAATAAATAAAACGATTGGATAACAGACGCCCAATTTGGAAAAATTTATGCACAAAGTGAACACAGATTTTATGTGGCATAGATGCTGGCATAACGGTTTTTGCCTAGGTACCCGTCTATAGTTTTGAAATGGACTGTAAGTGCGAACTAAAAGAGCACCTTTGGGAAAGGGCTACGTACAAACGACGAATTCAACGGAGCTAGAACAGGACGCGATAAATTTTTCCCTAACAAAATAAGAAAAAATAATAATAATAATAACTCTAAATAATCGACGTGGAGACAACAATTTTATAATAGCTATAAAGAGAACAAATTCTGCTGTCATCGCCACACTACAACAAAGTCATGAAGGTTTACCAAAATCGATTTTCTTGTCACAATCATCAGTGGAAAGCCGTGACTGAAGAGTAACCATGCTGAATCAATGATTAATATACATTCAATAATGTGTTACGAGAACAAAACAAAGTGCTAAAATAGAATGAGGGAAGGTGAGACAATAGAAGTGAAGTGAGAGCTAAGTGCAACAGGGGTGAGGAACTAATTACAACGCTAGAACTGTGTATTGAGACAAACAATCATGCTGTGCACCTACGAAAACAATCTTAATGCAACTACATGTTTCTTCTGCTTACAAAGATCAGGCTTATGCAAACGAATACAAACAGCCTCAAGTACTTTCAACTGACTAGCGTACCGTGCACGACAAAGAACAGAACAACTAAAATCATCATACACCTGCAGACACTAAGGGTGAGACAACAGATGAAGAAAAACGGCAGACTTCTTACGATCACAATCACCATCCGATTCCTCGTCTCCACCAACCGCAACCTCGTCCTCCGTCTCATCTTCCAACTCGTCCTCAGTGTCGTCCCCCGTGTCATTCTCCTCATCCACACCGATCGGTCCCAGGCTCGCTTCATGTTGCTTAACCTCTGTTCGTTGACTCCTCCTTTGATCTTGGTCTGTGGGGTCGGTGGCACAGGTGAATATGGAAGAGGCAAGCACTGAACATGAACAAGGAGAAAGAAAGCTGAAGGGAACGGAATTCAACAGAGAAAACAACACGATCAACATTCAAAGACCTAGACGTTCAACGGCTAATTATTCAATGAATTATTACAGTACTGGATGTCAAGCACCGGCGAAGACACTGGGAACAGAAGATTTAACAACAACAGGAACAACAACAATAACAACAACAACAATGGTAACAAATTACCATCAAGATCAAAGGAGGAGTCAACGAACAGAGGTTAAGCAACATGAAGCGAGCCTGGGACCGATCGGTGTGGATGAGGAGAATGACACGGGGGACGACACTGAGGACGAGTTGGAAGATGAGACGGAGGACGAGGTTGCGGTTGGTGGAGACGAGGAATCGGATGGTGATTGTGATCGTAAGAAGTCTGCCGTTTTTCTTCATCTGTTGTCTCACCCTAAGTGTCTGCAGGTGTATGATGATTTTAGTTTTTCTGTTCTTTGTCGTGCACGGTACGCTAGTCAGTTGAAAGTACTTGAGGCTGTTTGTATTCGTTTGCATAAGCCTGATCTTTGTAAGCAGAAGAAACATGTAGTTGCGTTAAGATTGTTTTCGTAGGTGCACAGCATGATTGTTTGTCTCAATACACAGTTCTAGCGTTGTAATTAGTTCCTCACCCCTGTTGCACTTAGCTCTCACTTCACTTCTATTGTCTCACCTTCCCTCATTCTATTTTAGCACTTTGTTTTGTTCTCGTAACACATTATTGAATGTATATTAATCATTGATTCAGCATGGTTACTCTTCAGTCACGGCTTTCCACTGATGATTGTGACAAGAAAATCGATTTTGGTAAACCTTCATGACTTTGTTGTAGTGTGGCGATGACAGCAGAATTTGTTCTCTTTATATCAATAATAACTCTTATTAAATTTAGAGCAGGGAGTCGGTATTTTACGACTCCCTGATTTAGAGATGTGAACGTTGGTAGTGGAAATCAGCACTGATATGAAAACAGTCGTCGCCATTAGGAGTCATCGTGTATGTGCCTCTCCGTCTTGCAGAGGTACTGATGTTGTCCGTGCCTGCGCGGACTGCGCAGGTTGCGCATGCGTGCATTTGTACACATTCATTCTTCTTGTTGTTGTTCTTTGCCTTCTTCTTGAGAATCTCTTTGGAGTGAAACCTATTTATCAATCCTCTGTTTGTAGCGCACGCGATATGTGAGAGTAATCAGAAGGGCCTATCGTCTGGATATAACCCCTCAGACGACAATTGGCGCCCGGCGTGGGGCTCGAACCCACGACCCTGAGATTAAGAGTCTCATGCTCTACCGACTGAGATTGCTGAAGCGCCTTGAGAAAGACAATCAGATCTATCACAATGCTGATGTCAACTGAGAACAGAGAGACAACAGTGTTTGAAAGACAAATTTGAGAGACAAGAGACAAGACAACTGTTAGCACCTTTTTTGGCGGGAACGTTCAGAGCTGATTTCCTGTTTCAGCGCTACCCTGGGGTGAGTGTGAGATAGTTCAGTTCAGGGAGTCGCAAAATACCGGTATTTTACGACTCCCTGGTTCAGTTGCATAAATATTAGATCTTCGGTTGTTGTAGCAGCCTCGACTCGAGTACTATACAACACAATATCCATATTCACATAAGAAAATATACAGTCACACGACCAAAACGGTTTCAACCTAAAAATCAGTATCGCTAGCTACAAGCAGTCGCCGAAATCATGAAATTAGAATGAGAGCACAATGGATACATTCCATTCTTGCAGGTGTCCCCAAATGCATGTACAATAGTAAGAAACTGGTCACAAGGGCTGTTGCGCCGGTGTGCACAGAAAGATCATCAACTAGAGGTCTACAGCTCAGCATGCCGGATTGGGGATCTAACATGAGATGTGAGTTTCACCACCATGATAATGCCTGCTATATCAAAAGCCTCTTGTATGGGCAAAACAAATGTGCTTCCATAATAATTATTATGACACAAAATCTCAATACAAAAAAATTAACAAAATGCCAAGAATCTGAAGAAAAAGCCCTGAATGCCTGCTATGGTCTCAACTGCCTCAACTGCTCTCAAAGAAACGTCTACTGAGTGGAAAGGAGCGAGGAAGAATGAGACAAATATACACGTAGGGAGTGAATCATCCATGCTACAGGGAGAATGAGACAAATATACACGTAGTGAGTGAATCCATGCTACAGGGAGAATGAGACAAAGATACACGTAGGGAGTGAATCACCCATGCTACAGGGAGAATGAGACAAATATACACGTAGGGAGTGGAGTCAAGACAGGAAGTATGGCCCCACGTCCACTACTTCTTGGTCATGATTTTTCTCTGCTGTTGAAGCAAGGAGTTGAGGTGATCAGCTTTCTTGTTGGCAGCCTGCAGGTAAAACACAGTACAAAGGAAGCCTTAAGTCTCATAAATTGTATAATGGGAACCTGTAAGTCACATAAATAGTACAATGGAAGCCTGTGAGTCACACATACTTCCAAGTACTGTAGTACAATGGCAGCCAAAATAGAAAGAGATAACCATAATCTTCACCACAATCAGAAAGACACAGCTGTGGTTTTCACAACAGCCACAAAGACACAGCTGCGGTTTTCACAACAACCACAAAGACATAGCTGTGGTTTTCACAACAACCACAAAGACACAGCTGTGGTTTTCACAACAATCGGAAAGAGATTGCTGCGAGATTAACCTCTCACGTATTAATCGACTATATCAACCCCCCCCCCCCTCCTCCTCATTATAGTATAGTTAATCTTCCAAACCGTGACCGGTACCCCGTCATAACAACCTGGCATTAAGATTGACAGGTATACAGTCAACTTTGCGTATAACGACACTCAGCGGCGGGGTATCAGAACAGTGTTCTTATTCGCGAAGTGTCGTTACACCCAAAGTCTACTTGTATGTATACAGGTAGAATGGACTTTGCTCTGGGCATGGAAATTCTGGCGAACTGTGGTTATATCCGCAGTCGTTTTTAGCGAACTTGACTGCATCTAGGTTACATATGAAGAGAGGGGGGGGGGGAGAGAATAGGACGCACTTGCGCTGGTTAGCTTCATGCTTTGCCCGCTGCTTCTAGCAGTTTGAGCACTCTCAGCGCTAGTACATTGAGCTGTCCTAATGTCTGTGGTTCTCGTAGCCATGGCTGACAGTTCAATCCTATTTTACGCTCGGAGTTGCACTGATGAGGCCTCATTGGCCGAAACAGTCTGGCTGTCTGCATCATTGAGTAGGAAGAGCTGAGATACAAGACCTGATAAGCGCCGGATTTGAGAAAAGCATCTTTTGATCCCAGTGTAATCAAAAAGATCTAGAGGCACAAGCTGCCAAAATTCGAATCTTACTACATGTGCAACCATTTCAAAACTAAAACTTAAACATGGATTTTGATACAAACCGCACACAAAATGAATCATTTTTTGAGCCATTATCCGAAAACGGTTGAAATGGATTTAGCTGGCTTTGCATTCCAGACCTTCATAATTGTGTACTGAAAGCTTGAAAGACAAACTCGTCAGTGCAACACGACTAGCTGATTCTTACCAGAACCTCCGCTTTGAGCTTCGAGATAGTTTCATCTTTCTTGGCAATAGCCTGCTTGATCCTGTGAGTGAAACATGAATGGACAAAGAATGGACAACGGCCGTGTCAGACTTGCTTACCAACTAACAACGTCACCATTATATAAGCTGTATGCACGCAAATAGTATGCATGAAACATATTCTACTCATCCCGAACGCTGGGGTGGTGGTGGTGGTGTGTGGGTGTGTGTGTGTGTGTGGGGGGGGGGGGGGGTGGGAGGGGTGGGAGGGAGCAATAACCTTGGCAAAGTGAATAGGTCTTGAGAGCGATGACATCACAAGTCCAAATCTAACGTTAAGTACCGACTTTTTGACCCACGCTGCCCACGGAGGATTACGGGATGTAGTGGGTGGAGTCCCTCCCCCCCCCCCCCTCCGCCTCCCCGCGTCGCACGGTAATTTGTTGTGTACCAGGAGTGAGTCCCTGACCGGTTTGAGGGTCCAGTCCAGTCACTGCCACTGGATGTGGCACTATGCTGTGAAGGAGGATCACCGAAATGCATTGTATGGATCCGTACAATCACTGAGTCAGCATTTTACTGACTCAGGGCTGGCTTTGAGATAACACATCCAAACCTTATGGCATTTGAACACCTTTGCTGACATCATTCTCAAACTTTGATTATGTCATTCCCAAATCTCCTCCAGTACACACCTGTTATGCAGAGCTTGCATCTCCTTCTGTTTGTCTTCCTCTAGCTTGACAAGGGCTTCTTTGTTCTCGTCCTGAACAGTCAGCAGCTGTGCTTGCTTTTCCTCCTCCACTCTCTTCAGTTGGTAGGTGTGCCGTGCTGTGAGCTCTGCTAGCTCGGTCTTGATTCGTTTGTTTTCTTCCTCCGTGGACACCAGGCTGGGGAGTGACGGAGAGTATGAACATAATCACATAAACACACACATACACACACACTTGTACTTGTACTTGCTCACTGCCAAAACTGGTCACGTGGGTCTTCCCGGGAGAGGGGAGAGAGACTCAAAAGGAATCTTGGAAAGATGACTCAATTGGCCATTGAACCACCCAACGGCCGACACCCCCTGAAATCCCCAAACTAGGGTGGACTTGAAATGATCCCACTTATAGGCTCACCACACCTCAGTAAGTGAGTGAGGACAAGGTGCAGAAAAAGGATTGACGGCATCAGGGTATCCGTCCCGGGATCCAGCTGCAGGTACCCCTGCCCCCAGTGAAGGTAATACTTGGTACTAGTGTGGGTGGCTAAATCAGAGTGGATTATAATCTTCACTAGCACCATTGATTACACAAGAGTTAATCTAGCCAGAAGCAGTCCATGGTTAACAGGTATGTATACTTCAAATAGAAAGTATATGAACCCTGAAACCAACACGCACACACGCACACACACGCACACACACACACACACACACACACACACACACACACACACACACACACACACACGCACACACACACATGTTGGTCATTTTAACCTCAACCATCAAGCATCCTCCATCTACAGGCATGAAAACAGACCAGGACAGTTTGTTATAGTTGTTCACTGCGTGATGAAACGCATGCAGTTTCTTACCGATTGGCAAAATCCTGGCGGACAATATCCGTGACGTTATCCCGTTCCTTGTTCAACCTCTCTAGCATCTAGTGGTACAGGACACACACAAATTTCTATTTAGTTACCATGACAGAGAATCGTCACCATGGCGATCTCTATGGTGATCAGTTCCTAGGTGCTTCTACAGATGCACTTTTAAATTCTGTAAAACTGTAAAACCGGGAATTTTCGGTGATGTAATATTTTCGGTATTTCCCAAAACTCAACGGTTCGGTAGCGAGAAAATTACAGTGCACCAGTTTTCCAGATCCAAAAATGCATTGTGCACACTGTGTGGCTTTAATATATAATAGGCTTGTGGAATATTATGTTGAGTTTCATTTTAGGTAAAAAATAACCTGTACCGAAGTAACCGAAAATCAATATTCACCGAAAATTTCAGGTCATACGGTAAGCGTTGCCCAGGCGTTCCTCTAACAAGCGGATAGCCTGCTGCATAACCCTAGTAGCATTGACACCATTGCGCATTGCCAAATATGAAATGTGTGAGTAATGCTTGTGAGTACGCTGGGATCAGGAATGCACTGTTCAACACCCCAGACGACCATGCCCAGTAGGTGGCTGTGAAGGGTGTTTATGGTGCAAATCACGTCATTGCGCAATGGGTCCAGTGACACCAGTAAATGTTCATTAGTATTTCAGCAGTGAAAAGGCAAAGAGAGATTGCTGTTTGTGACCAGATGGAATGGCGCGCAGAGGGAAGACCAGAGAGAGGGGAAGAGGGAAGACCAGAGAAAGGGGAAGAGGGAAGACCAGAGAGAGGGGGAAAAGGGAAGACCAGAGAGAGCGGGAAGAGGGAAGACCAGGGAGAGGGGGAAGAGTGAAGACCAGAGAGAGCGGGAAGAGGGAAGACCAGAGAGAGCGGGAAGAGGGAAGACCAGAGAGAGGGGGAAGAGGGAGAGGAAGATGATAACATTACCAAGGGAAACGTAGCAACTTGGTGGTGTTCCATATAAAGCATGTGCAGCTAGCTGCTAGTAGGTAGAAGTGACTAACTAAGCGCAAAAGGCAGACGCTGATCATAGCTATGTAGATATTCACACGGCGTTAGTGAGCTCTTTGTACATACAGACAGACAAACATACAGTGGGCGTGTGGTGGTGGTGGGGGGGGGGGGGGAGGGTGCACGTGTGTTCATGTGTGTGTGTGTGTGTGTGCATGTGTGTGCATGTGTGTGCATGTGTGTGTGTGTGTGTGTGTGTGTGCGTGTGTCTCCCTATGTGTACATAATATCTACAGCCTATGCATGTACTATGTATGTACCTTGTTGGTCTCCGTCAGTTCCACATCTTTTTGAGTCATGGCAACATGCTGTCTGGCTACTTCAGCCTTACTGTCCGAGAGCTGAGACTGAAGCAAGCACAACACACAAAAAACACACAAAACACACAAAACACACACAAAACACACACACAAAACACACACATACACACACAAAACACACAAAACACACAAAACACACACAAACCACACACAACACACACAACACACACAACACACACACAACACACACAACACACAAAACACACACATACACATACACATGTACTTGTACTTTTACTCGCTCACTGCCAGAAACTGGTCTATCTTCCCGGAAGAGACAGAAACTGGTCTATCTGCCCGGAAGAGGGAAGAGAAATCCAAAAGAAATCTCGGAAACAAAATCTTCGTGGAGATAATAGTTTAATAATGGCTATGAAAAGTATGAATACCGCAGACATCACCACGCAATATGACAATTTGTTAGAGGTTAATTAAACAAATCAGTGGTACCAGAATCGATTGCTTCAATTCCGTATTTCCCCTGATGATCGGAGCTTGAAAATCGATTCTGGAAACACACAATTTTCAACCACTAACAAATCATCATGTTGCGTGGTGATGTCTGCGGTATTCATATATTTCATAGCTATTACTGAATCTTGGAAAACTAACTCAGTATTTGTTATCACACCGTCGTAGGACGGCCAACACCTCATTCAAAACCCAAACTCTGAGTAGACTTAGACATTATCAACTTTTTGGGCTCACCACATCCCACATCTCAGTAAGTGCTTGAGGGCAAGGTGCAGAAAATGGTTTGACGGCATCACGGCATCCGTCCCGGGATCCAACCGCATTTACAACAGCCTCCAGTGAAGGTAATGCTTCAAACTAGTCTTGATTGCTCAACCAGATATACATGCACGCTCACACTCAACATTCTTTTTCCTTGGCTTACAAGAAGGATGTTCCAAAGTGTCCCATCGTGTGGCCTAGACTAACAACATACTGGAATGGTATGCATACCTCAGACCCAGATCAACAACAGTACTTCAACACGTGATAAGTTGCGCAAGCCGTATACACAGCCAACAGAGACAGAAGCAAAAGAATCCCAGGTAACGGAGTCACACGGAAGAGAGACAGAGGCAACAGAGTCACATGTAACAGACACAAGGCCAACAGAGACACAGGTAACTGAGATACACACGCCATAGACATACAGCCATCGCAGACACATAACAAATAATGTGCAAAGCAAATACAAGCATCAGACATGACTAGTAACAGACAAGACAATGAACAGACACATCCTTACTTTCATCTCTGAATAGCGCTCTACAGCATCGCGTTCTGATCTCTCCATCTCGCGCATCTCCGTAGCATGCTGATCACGCAGACGGCTGTGAACACAAACGCAGTGGACACACACAATAAATGCACACAGAGAACACACAGTGAACACATACAGGAGTGACACACATAAAGGCCCATGTTTGTTATATCGAGAGTCGACTGTAGTGTTTGTTATATCGAGAGTTGACTGTAGTGTTTGTTATATCAGGAGTTGACTGTAATGTTTGTTATAACAGGAGTCGACTGTAGTGTTTGTTATATCAGGAGTCGATTGTAATGTTTGTTATATCAGGAGTCGATTGTAATGTTTGTTATATCAGGAGTCGATTGTAATGTTTGTTATATCAGGAGTTGATTGTAATGTTTGTTATATCAGGAGTCGATTGTAATGTTTGTTATATCAGGAGTCGATTGTAATGTTTGTTATATCAGGAGTCGATTGTAATGTTTGTTATATCAGGAGTCGATTGTAATGTTTGTTATATCAGGAGTCGATTGTAATGTTTGTTATATCAGGAGTCGATTGTAATGTTTGTTATATCAGGAGTCGATTGTAATGTTTGTTATATCAGGAGTCGATTGTAATGTTTGTTATATCAGGAGTCGATTGTAATGTTCTTCCCCTGTACAGTGACTCACTTCATTCGCGCTTCAAGCTGCCTCTGGTGTTCTTCTTGTGTTTCATTCATGTCATTCTCCAGACGGTTCACGACCATCTCGATTTCCTGAGTGTACACACACACACGCACACACACACACGCACACACACACACACACACATGCACACACACACACACACACACACGCATACACACACACACACACACACACACACACACACACACACACACACACACACACACACACACACACATACATACACACACGCACACATACACATACACACATACGCACGTCACAAACTCCATGTTTGCATTCCCCACTTCTGTAGTTGAGCTGATAGGGAGAGAAATCATTCTCCCTTAAAAGCGATGATTGCAACTAGGTGATTGGGTTGAAGGGAGAATGACCGTGGAGAGAATGGCTGCTGGAA